GCCACCGGACGCGTCCGGTCACAATTTCGCCGCTCTAGAACCTTTCTGTACTCGATCGAACGCAGTTGTTCTGCGTCCGATTGATTTGCCGCCAGCGTCCGGTCGCTTGGTGACGACTCTTCTATTGTCGAGCCTCTTGATCGGAGTGTCCGGTCACTTTCCTTCAGCGTCCGGTACAACGTCCGGTCACCTCTATGAGCTCGTTTCTTCACGATCTTACGTACGGCTTGGTTCCCATCTTTGTGCTTGTACTTTGCTTGATATCTTGGGTCTTCTCTTATGCTTCTAGGGTCTTGCTTAAGGTGTTGATCATCGGATCATAATGTCGCATTCGTCCAAGTCACGTCTTGCACCCTATTAAACTACAAAACAATCACTTCCAAATTCATTAGTCCAATTTGGTTGTGTTGGTCATCAAACACCAAAATTCAAAGTAAATGGGACTGGGGTCCATTTTCCTTACAAAGTAATGTAAGAAATGACTTAAGAATATTGTAAGCTTTATTCTTTCATTTATAATCCTGATGAAAAATATGGATTTTCGAGTTCTCCCTTGAGGTGTGCTCAATGGAACTGCGTAGTTTAGTGTTCTCTCTTGGTACTTAATGTCTAATGGAAGACAAGTACTCCTGGGAGGCATTAGATTAGGTGGTTCTACCACAGGTGGTATCAGAGCATAAATGAGAAAATAAAGCTTCAAAATCCTTTTCTAAACTAAAATTAGACAACATATTTTTTTTTAAAAAGTTAGACCGTTTAACTACGAAGTATATAAGTAGCCCTATTGCTATAGTTAAGCATCCAGAATAGGTTTAACTAGGCTTTCTCTGGTGGACTGGCTCTCGTGTAGTATACGATCTTTAAGACAGGCATGCTAATGCCTTAGTCGCCGTATTGCTGGTAGATGCGCCTTTCATAGCTGTCACGCGAGTCGTATTGTGTACGATTGACCGACCCTTGTTTGGTAGTTACTGTTGCACTGTGGCTTCATGCTTCGCGTTCGCCTGTGACGGAGAGGCGGAACTTGAAGTCGCCGCCGCCGCCACGTTTGGGCTCCACTGTCGCCCACCTTAGTCTGCACGAGGGGCTTGGACGAGGAGAAGGCGGGCGCATGCGTGGAGGGTCCGCCTGCGTGGCCGGGGATGGGGGGAGAGAGGGAGAGAGAGAAGAGATCGCTGAACTCACCGTCTGCAAGGGGGACGGAGGGGAGGAGAGCAGCCGGCGCCGCCCACCGGGGGGCGCCGTCGCCTCGCCCGACGCTGGCTCGGGGGAGATGGGAAGAGTTGCGTTTGCTTGTGTTTTTTCTGTTTTTTTCGATGATGAGGGAGAGAGGGCCATATATTTTTGTGGACATGAGATTTCCAGACGACGTAGCCCGCTGCTGGCCAAGGGAAGGAATTCTGGGCGACGTGGCCACCGTAGCTGAATTCCGTGTGACGTGGCCGGTGCGAGCGACGGGGGAGGAACATAGGATTGAAGAGGTTAAATAATGCTCACGATCCTTTCAGCCAGAACTGCTTAACTAATAGGCACTAGAATTAAAGGTCTCTGACTATCATTATCGTCATGTATGAAAATGTGATGCTTCCGCTTCGGTTGATTTTGTTTTTCATAATAAATTGAAAAATGGGGATAAAAAAAGAGAGACAAAAGCATCCGATGAATATAGGATGCGTGTACCTAGCACAAAAATCCACACCCATAACATTTTGTCACCGTTTTTGTTTGTGCCAACACCCAACACCTAGTGATGCAAATGGCACGGATATTATCCAACCGTCCGTTGGTACGAAGGGACTCAAGTACTGATACAGACATTTGTGTCAAATGTCCAGATGATTTTTCAGATATCGAATATGAATTTGAATACCTTACATGGATGACGGATATAAATACAATCTCATCAATATATCCGCAGGATATCGGATATCCGATATTTTATTCAGATATACGGATACAATGACAATGCAGACTTGTATATGAACTATTGATAATTTGCATCTAGACGTATAATCTAGTTGTAATTAGGACTCATAGAGTGGTCGAATGACTGCAGCACATGTAATATTATATAGATGTCGCTTTACTCATCCCGTATTTGATATATATTTATTCATATTCATATATGAGACAATCTGTATTCATAGCTATATTTGATAGCTATCCGAATCGAATCGATTTCAAGAAAAAAAATATATAAACAAATATGATATCAACAACGTTCGTATCCGATCTTTGCATCCCTACAACACCCAACACCACACCACCAGGTCGTTTGCTTCCAGCTGCCAACGTACTTTTTCGTTGCCCTTTCGGCCGCATACGCCGCCCTGACCAGTGCATTCAAAATGTCAGGCCTCCTTGGCTCCTTGAGCTGTCTCCGTTGCATTATTGGGAAAAAAAAAATTCTCACGATCCTTTCAGCCAGAACTGCCCAACTAATAGGCACTGGAATTGAAGATTTGAAGGTCTATGACTGTCATTATCGTCATGCATGAAAATGCGATGTTTGCGCTTCGATTGATTTTGTTTTTCATAATAAATAGAGAATATCCCAGATGATCCGTAGCTACACCTACACGCCGAGCCTGATAGCGACCGAGCAAATTTACATAGCACCTCGTGTGCACGGCACGGCCGCTTGTTGATGAACAAGCTAGGGTTTTAAAGTGATTTTTATATTCGAACATATCGTTGAAAGTGAATGAGATGGATCGCAACTGTCCAATTGTCGTTGTAGTACTTTCAAGTTTCAACATCGCACGGAGAGAATACATAGCACGTGTCCGTAAGAGGATACGATCAGCATGAGCGGATGTAAAAATAAATTCTCATTCTGATGGATAGACATACGAAGAGCTTCCCTCGCCATTCTGGCTGGGTGGATGTAGTACATCTTATGCTCATCCACGTGTCATTCTTGAGCTAGGCATCTTTAGAAAGCTATTGCATCCGTAGACATATGATTACTATCAGCCTGTTCGGTTGGCTGATTCGTATCGTTGCTGGTTTATTTATGTGAGAGAAAAATACTGCTGGCTGGTTCAGGTGAACAGTACAACCAGCCCAGTGATCACGCTGTATATCCACCCACACAACTAAAAACTATTTTTTTTACTATAACAACTTCGACTGCTATGATATAAACTTGATACTCTTAGATATGTAATCAAATATATATCAGTAATCATAAATTTGTACTTACGGAGTATACACGAGTAAAGAGCCCAAACCTCTCCATTGGTCGACTCACGGCACACAGTTGCTGAACGCCTGCCGTTTGAGAACACGCCCGCGCAGCGCAGCCCCTCATCACACGCGCCGTCGCGCCGACACGCAGTCTGCGAGCAAACAAAGCTGGCGAAACTTGGCTGGGTCAAAGGCGCCATCAGACCAGGTTTTGGATCAAACAGTGCCACCACGTTGCTCCGGTTCCCGTTCCAGATCGTGAGGCGGCGACGGCACTGGAGGGACCCGAACCAACAACCAACGGTCCCCGTCCCGTTGAATGTCTCTGATCCAGTCGTCTCCGCGGCACGAAATAAACAAAAGTGAAATAATGGAAACGAACCCGTCCGTCCACTTTGCCGTGCTGATTTCCTCTCTGCTGCCGCGGTTGCGTCGCGGATTCGGGGGAAGAAAAATAATGGAAACGAACCCGTCCGTCCAAGGCGCAACGCGACGGTGACCGACCGACCAAACCTCGCCGGCTCGCCGTCCAGGTGACGCAACGCCGGTCCCCGGAAAACGACCGGCGCGTAGAAACCCACCACTGCTGCGGAAACGGAAAGAACGAGAACGGTCCTGCTACTCGCTACGGGACACTGCGTCGTGCGTAGGAGTACTGTAGTAGTACTACTACTGACGCCGTAGACAGTCATCGTCGCTTTCGTGCTCACCTTCAAAGATGCTCATCGGCCAGTGACGCACTGACGCGACTCATCTAACATCTATATGCTGCCGCCGCGTTTTCGCGGAACTCACTAGCCTTTCCAGCGGGAAGAAAAGGAACCGTAATTACGTGCTCCATTAACAAATCATGCCGTTGCTCCTACGCCGGCCGAGGCCTGCAGCCTGCTATCTCCGACAACAACATCTAAAATATAACACTCATTCGTCATTTACGTAACGCTACAGGCAAAAGATTTAATACATAATCGGTATCTTCTCTAACGACAAGACCTAAAAAAAATCATTTCTGCAAATGGATTTCCAGAAGAAAGAATGCCCATATTTAGGTTATGCCTCTCGAACAACTAAAATATGTCTTCCGTATATATATTTTATTGGAGATTAATTTTAGATCTCTTGCTACTCATTTTAGTTTGAGTCACCCCAACGTTCACCTTTAGTAGTTAGAGCGGCTTAATCGCGGCCATTAGGCCCCACTAACGTGAATTACTGGCTCAAAGCTCCCATCTTTTTTCTTTTTTCGCGATATTTCTCGGCTTCCAGGTCACGCATCCGCTCCCATTCTCTCCCTAATTAGGCCATCCGCTTCCGACCAAACGGCCTCTTTCCCCTTCCCCCTCTCTTCTCCTGCCTGTTCTCTGTCAATAGCGCTCGCAATCCCGTCACTATCACTAGTCCAGCCCCAGCTCCTCTGTCTTCTCCCTGTGTATAAAGATTTCGTTCGTTCCTCTTTCGGATTTCTGATCTCGTTCTCGGTCCCCGATTCCGCCTGTGAAAAATCTCGTCTTTGCTGCAATCTGTAGCAGACTAGCAGGAGCAGGGAGGAGTTTGTGCATAGTTTCCTTTCCTTTCCTTTATATTTTGTTCCTTTTTGATCCGGAGAAGCCGAGTCCGTCAGTGGTTGCTTGCCACTAACGAATCACGTTCGGGTTGCGTTCTCCGCTCCAATCTAATTCGGGGCGCTGGGGAAGGATTCGGGACGGAAGGCACTAGTTTTTGTGCTTCCTTGGATTCCACGGCAAAGCCCGGGCTGCGAGGTCGGCGTCGTCTCCATCGCATTCTGGCGCCCAAGTAACCTTGCTGTGGGGATGGTGTCGCAGGCTCCCATGGCGGGGGCGGGCTCGGGCGCCGCCAACCTCACCGCGGCGCTGTGCAAGAAGAGTAACCGCGTCGCGCGGGTGCTCGCGTACGCGCTGCTGGAGTGGATCCTCATCGCGCTGCTCCTCGCCAACGGCGTCTTCTCCTACCTCATATCCCGGTTCGCCGCCTTCTTCGGCCTCGCGCCGCCGTGCGCGCTCTGCTCCCGCCTCGGCGTCGACAGCCTCTTCGAGTCCCACTCCCACCCCCACCACCGTGGCGAGGGCGCCGAGCCCCTGCGCCGCTTGCTGTGCGACGTGCACGCCGCCGAGCTGTCGCGCCTCGGCTACTGCAGCGCGCACCGCCGGCTCGCGGACGCCGGGGACATGTGCGAGGACTGCGCGGCCGCGGCGGAGCCCGGGAAGGCGATGCTGTCGTGGATGGGCCGGAGCGAGCTCGGCGAGCGGGACCTCGCCTGCGCCTGCTGCGGCGTCGCGCTCGAGAGCGGCTTCTACTCGCCGCCGTTCTTGCTCACCACGTCGGCGCCGCGCGGCTCGGATTGTGGCCACAAGGAAGAGGAAGAGGCAGCGAGGCCAAATGGAGACGTGGTCTTTGTCTCCGAGGAAGGCCCTGTGATCGAGCTCTTCGACGAGAAGCCATCTGTGGAGGATGACTCAATCGGCGTCTTGGCTTATGGTGCCGAGGTTGTTGCCAATGATGAGCGGCTGGTGCCTCTTGAATCAATTGACTCGTTGGTGGTCGCCATGTGCTCCGTGTCATCTCAATCTGGTGGCGAAGGAAAGGAAGCAGTTGATCATGGCGATGTAAGGCAGAATAACGTGGACATGGAGAACACAGTTAGTACCAATGAGGAGAAAATTGTCATGACATCTGATGATGACAAGGTTGATGATGTGGTTGATCGGTTGATTGATGAACAGATTGCTGCCATAGTCTTTGTTCCAGCTTGTATAGAAGCTACACTTGATGATGGGATAAATGCAGGCAAAACCGTGGAGGCCTTTGCTGATCATCAGTGTAAGGCATTCCTCCTTTGATAAATTACCTTTTCTGTTATTCTAGTTTAGCCATGCTGAAGGACAGGCCTGGTGCAAGCGGTAAGCCGGAAGGTCCCGGGTTCGAGTTGCGGTCTCCTCGCATTGCACAGGCGAGGGTAAGGCTTGCCACTGACACCCTTCCTCAGACCCCGCACAGAGCGGGAGCTCTCTGCACTGGGTACGCCCTAGTTTAGCCATGCTGACTATAGCTCTGAATGTCACTTTTGTCGTGTTTGTGTTTTTTAATGCATTTATGTTTATTCTGCTCACCTTTAGTGCTGAATCAGAATTTAGTTATTTCTATCTACCAAACGGAGTTATGGTTCTGCTCGTGTTTTCACTGAACTGTGCTATTGTAGTTGTACCCCTTCAGTCAGTCATTCTAGATTTTGGATAGCACTGGGTATATCTGGTGAACCTATAGCTGAACACTTGAACTGGAAGAGAAAAAAGGGAAGATTAACCTAAGAAAAAAAATTGATAGGATGAAATGGACCTTTCAACAGAATAGATGACAAACAATATAGTTTACTGTCCTTGAAGTTGTTCCGTGATGTTTTTCTCTGTTTCAAGCTAGTTAGTCATACACCTTATTTTCAAAATATTAAATGCAGCTCCTGAGGATGACAGTGGATTGAAAGATAAGGATCAGAAAATATCATTTGAAGATGAGATATCTGAGGATGAGCAAACTGAACAGGCTACTCCACAACAGGAATTGTGTGCCATGCCAACAGATCCTAGTGACCATGAATTTGTTGAGAGGTTAGAAAGAAGTATTGAGTTGGAGCATTTTCCACGGGCTGAGTCAAAGCATAAAATGAACTCTATGCCAGTGGAAGTTTCTGAGCATGTCGCTGTAACTCAGATTGAGGAGAAGCAGGTTCAACAAGCTGAGGTAAATCAGGAGTTGGAGTCAATACCAATGCGTTCCAGGGAGCATGCTGATGAAGAACTTGAAGGAGAGAGAGCTGCACAGGCTGGGTTGGAACAAGAGTGTGACTCTGTGCCAATTGATTCTGGGGAACATGGTTGCCTGACTTCATATGCTCATATTGATGATGAGCAAGCTGAGGTGAAGCAGAAAGTCACTTCTGTAACAGCAGATGTTCTGCATTATGCAGCAGACACTTTTAATGTTTACACAAACACATGGAAAGGTAAGATGCTGAGATCACAAGAACACTTTGTTTATTTCCCAAGATTAGTGCATTCTGATTGTTGCTTCTACTATTATTGTGTAAATTTTGAAACTGATTATTAAATATTATATACAGAAGATATTGAAGATGATCCAACTGAAGCTGCTCTAACGGCCATACATCAAATTTCTTATGAACCTTTGACAAGCTTAGACAAGTTCTCTCCGGATCATAGTGTCTCTGAAGAAGACAGAGAGCCTGATACGCCGACTCATATTGAAGATATATGTGATTCACAGGAACTGCTGGATTCTAAAGCAGCTGTTTCTGATGCTAAATCTGTAGATTCAAGTATTGCTACTTTGTCTACTGATCAGGAAAGCACTGAATTGGTGAGTGTCGATCAACTAAAATCTGCTTTGGCTTCCACACGAAAGTCATTGAAGACCCTATATTCTGAACTTGAAAATGAGAGGAGCGCTGCTGCTATAGCTGCCGATGAAACCATGGCAATGATAAACCGCTTGCAAGAACAGAAAGCTGCAATGCAGATGGAGGCAATCCAATACCAGCGGCTTATGGAGGAACAGTCAGAGTATGACCAAGAAGCACTGCAGAGGCTGAATGAACTAGTTGTTAAGAGAGAGAAGGAGAAGCAAGATCTGGAGAGAGAGCTCGAGCTGTATCGCCACAAGGTTCATCTCTATGAGGTAAAGGTGAGGAAAATGTCCAGGCACAAGGCTGATGACCAGAATGGATCATCGTCAACTTCATCGAGTGCTGAGGATAGTGATGACCTTTCACAAAGTTTCTATGAAGGTGATGAATCTTCCCATGGTCTTAATGGAAGCAATGGGAGTATTCCTACAGATGTTGTGCTGCAAGAAACTGCCAGGCATCTTGTTACCCTTGATGGCTCGCTAGCTGATTTTGAGGAAGAGAGACTCTCCATACTGGAACAGCTTAAAGTGCTAGAGGATAAACTTTTTGATCTTGATGATGAAGAATCAGATACAATGAAGCATTTGTCAGAAGAAAATCATTTAAGTGGTGCCTCAAATGGTTTCTCTGATGATGATAGCTGCTTTAAACTTCATGACAAAAGAAAAAGTGTAACCTACAGAGGAAAGAAGCTCCTTCCATTGTTTGACGATGCTACTATGGAAGCTGGAAACATCCCCCAAGGTGATGAGGCACATCATTCAACAGAGGTCACACTGGACCTTGCTAGAGAGCAACATAAGCTTGCAATTGCCAATGAAATCGATCAAGTAAATGAGAGGCTGCATGCTCTTGAGGCAGATAGGGAATATATAAAACAGTGTGTGAGGACATTGAAAAAGGGTGGCAAAGGGTTTGATCTTCTTCAGGAGATATTACAGCATCTTCGGGACCTAAGAAGGATTGAGCAGCGTGCAAGGAACTCTGGGGAGCTTTCGCCTCATTACCTACATCTTTACACGGACTGAAGGTAACATGCTACAGCTAGTATTGATAGTTTGCTGAATTTTCTTTTCAACATGGATGGTGACAGAATGATTGTTCTCTATCTTCTAAGAAAAAGAGTTCATTGAATTCTGTTACATACAAGATGAATAAACAAAATTCTACTTTCCTAAAGAAGTCATGCATCCCCACATGTCCTTTGCACACTACTAAAGTCTGTGCCTAAAATACCACATTCTATTCTAATTGATTTGAGAGAACCTAATTCTTGCTTGTTGATTCCAGATCGGCTGCAAAGCCTCGTGCCGATGTCCAGCAAATATTGCTTGAAGATGGAAATCATACAACAATGATAAGATAGAAAAAAAAAAAAGATTGCCAACTAACTAGTATTGTCATTGGAGAAGTTTGTTGGTTCTCGGAGAGGAAGGAGCTCCTCCTGGAACACTGTCACAGTCGGTTCGGCGATGCTATTCTGAGGGCAGATCATGGAGCAATTCTGCCTTCCAAGGTCCAGGATTTTTGTGGACCACTTCCCACGTTCTCTTTTTGTGTTGGTTTAGTTTTCCCGGGGGGCTCCAAACTTTTGCCCAAGGGCAAGAGGGTTGGTTGGTGAGCCGCCCGGGCCCGTGGGGTGTGTTTGTGGGTTGTGGCGGCAATCATGGCCTTGTGCAAGCTTTAGAATTCATTAACCTGAAAACATGCCGATGCCAGCTTTGCTGCCAGATAGAGTGAATGAGTATAAAAAGAGGGTAGTCGGAGTGGGCTTCACTAGTTTTTGTTTTCTCTTTTCTAATTTCTTTTCCTGTAAATCTTCTAGCTGTATGTAATGTGCTTTCGGCTTCTGGAATGATGAGGTGTTGGGTGTGTGCATAGCATGACTGTTGTTTGATGGAGAGCATCGCCTTGCCGGTCTTTCCCTTTTGTTCTTTTTTGCTCTTTTTTATTTTGGGCATACAATCTTTTGATGCAAGCGCTGCTAGTTATTAAACTCTGAGAGCAACCGGCGTCATGCACTGATGTATGATTGGTTTAGCTGTCAAGAATCATGAGATGACCAGTTGGTCGCCAGTGCATGGATGCAGGTCACCAAACAGTCTGTTGGGTGGGGTGGACCTGCCCCTACCATGTCTAGTGCTACTCATCACCAATGCAATGCATGAGCTCGTTGGTCCTGTGCAATATCTTCTCTGTTCCGGGTACTGGTACTACCCCTACTAGGTTGTAAGCTGTCAGCAACAGCTTCTCTTGATCTGTTGACAAGCTAGTAAGGGGTTATCGGTCCTGCTGCTCTTTAGGGCCTGTTTAGATTCAAAAAAATTTATGCAGTACTCGTCACATCGAATCTTGCGGCATATGTATGGAATATTAAATGTAGACGAAAAAAAACTAATTGCACAGTTGGGTGAGAAATCGCGAGACGAAACTTTTGAACCTAATTAGTTTATAATTAGACACTAATTACCAAATACAAACGAAATGCTACAGTGAGCCAAAATCCAAAAATTTTTTATCTAAACGGGGTTAATTGAAGCTCCGATGTGTTGGCAAGCTCGGCTCGGCTAGTGCAGAGAGTGTGGACTGTGGAGTAGATCAGTCAGTAGCCGTACCGGTTTGGACCGGGGGGCGAGGTGAGGGAGAAGGCCGCGAGATGCATTGCATCCAGGGAAGTGAAGGCGCAAGGATGACGATTGCTTTACCTCTAAGCATGGATCGGGCAGAAGGGTTATGTTCACCGATTAGGATGTGAGATGTGACAGGGACACAGTTGCCACGCCGCCCGACCGCATCAAGCTCCGTTGCCTCCTGCTCCTCCTCCTGTGGTAGTTATGTAAATGCACGTGCAGTGTGGGAAAGCATGTACCACGTGTTGTTAGCATAGTTGTTAAAATCTTAGATCATATGGTGTGATTTTACGACCTTGTGATCATAGTTTATCGTAGTCTACAATTTTACAATTCTAATAGTTATGAACTTGTGGTTCTATACGATTTGCGATAGTACTATTCGAGTTCGGATAGAGATCACAGTCGTTTCTTCAGGTACGAATTAGGTAGGATTGTTCTTCGACTTGCTTTGTTTTTTATATAAAGTTTCTTGGAGTTGCTAATTTGGCTACGGTACTGACTGTAGTATACTGGTGGCTCTGGTTTAGATTTGTTCATGGGCCACTTGGACCGACCAACCTGACCCATCTGGAAAAAAATTCAGACTATGATTTTCGACCCATAGCAAGACCCAACTTGAAAACTCAACTCAAATGTGCAAACGATAATGATACGTACCAGACGTTCGAACGGACGAACCCCTCTGTCCGCTCATTTCTGCACCTGCTCATTCCTTCCGCACCCCTTCCCCCACCGCGGCATCTCTGCACCCGCCGCAACACTCCTCTGCCGAGCCGCACGCCCGCCCCACCCCCATGCGCATCGCCCGAGCCGTGTGCCCCGCTGCCTCCCTCTCCCTCCTTGTCCGGCGCGGTGGCGGCGCCGGCGCGAGCACGAGCTCTGATCCACGTGGCCACCCCTAGTATCGGGGACCAATACTAGGGTACCCGAAGAGGAGGAGCTAAAAACCGTCAACGTGGATTCATCCGAGCAGACAAGAGCGCGACTACAGCTCTTGCCGACCCCTAGGTACGCGAGCTCCACCTCGTCCGACCCCTGAGGGTTGGCTCCGCCTCGCCCAACGCCGAGGCTGCGGACTCCGCCTCGTCCGACCCCTGAGGGTTGGCTCCGCCTTGTCCGACGCCGAGGCCGCGAGCTCCGCCTCGTTCGACCTCTGAGGGTTGGCTCCGCCTCACCCGACACCGAGGCCGCGGGCTCCGCCTCGTTCGACCCCTAAGAGTTGGCTCCGCCTCGCCCGACGCCGAGGCCACGGGCTCCGCCTCATCCGACCCCTGAGGGTGGCTTCGCCTCGGCCGGTACCGAGGGTTGGCTCTGCCTCGTCCGGTACCGAGGCCGTGGGCTCTGTCTCACCCGACGGAGACCCATACCGCCACCAACCACTCCAGGACCAAGCGTGTGGGTCTAGGTCAAAGCTCTGACACCAGGGAAGCGACCGGCACGCCCCGATATAACACATGGCCATGATGGGCCATACCTGGGGACTCATATTAGGAACAACATCGGGCGTACCGATAATGTTCTGCCTAACCCTCGTACGAACACTGACAGACGCGTCAATTCACCACGACGTCCAGCACGACAGAGTGGAGCGCCACGACCAGAAGACGACGCCTGCACATGGCGCCAGTGACGGATAGGGTCGTGATGTGGAGTTGTCCCTGTTGACGTCTACAAGGTCGGTGGGACCCACGTGAAGGAAAAGGACCCAGCGATCCTAGAGGACTTTTTCTCCTTCTCGTTCTCCTCTCTTCCCTCCGCTGTAACCCCTGCCTTCCCTTAGCCTATAAAAGGGAAAGCAGGGCGTCCCATTAAAGGGATCGCACATCGGACACTTGATCCGAGCACATCCGAACCGATCGGAACTCATCACAACACACCACCAGAGACTTAGGACCTATCCCTCTCTCGACCGTTTGTAACCTCTACTATGAACCTTCAGTACTAGTAACATGAGCAGCAGCAACGAACTGGACGTAGGGACATTCTGCATGAACCAGTATAAACCTCGTGTGCTCTTAGCACACCATACGGGCCAGACAAGTAATAATGCAAATTTACTTGTTGGTGGCAACTCAAAACACCGACAGTTGACGTGCCAGGTAGGAGCCTTTTACGCGGCTCGACATCCACACCAGGCCTCGGATGGCTAGTCACAACCTCAGCTGGGTCCCGGGCGCGCACGTGCGCTTTGGGGACCTAGACTTCATCATCACGGCGGAGGGAGAGTTGGCAATGGCTCCCGCCGTCGTCCGACCTCCCCACTCCGCCGGCCTCGACGCAATCACCGAGGCGCTTGAGGAGCTGCAGCTGCAAGCCCCGGAGGCCTGCACCCGGAAACGACCACCTCCTCAACTTCGACCATGGGAGGCTTGAGTGCCAGCTCGACGTCTTCATGGGACCCCGACCGTCCCGAGAGGACCTGCGCCGCCTCACCTTTTCGTTCACCAACATCATGGCGCAGCTTGCCGGAGGGGAGCCGCTCTCTCTGGAATACCTCATCCAGAGCGCCCCGACAGCGCTCCCGTTCGGTCTCCGCAACGCCATAGAGACCGATGACCACCCTGTGGCGGAGTTCGTGGGGGTGACCGAATATGTTGCGGAGTCTTTCCACGACCTCCTTGCGGGAGAAGCGGAGTTGCCCTACGACTCTGACTCCAGCAAGGGGAGTCATCACCCCTCTCGTGAGTGTTTCATGGCAGGTACCCCCGAGGGACGCGTCGAAAGCATCCATGAAGAGGAGGCTACCCCGATGAACGACCTCGACGATGAGGTCGAGAGGGAGACAACAGCCCCGCCTGGCATGCGGGTGGAGCAGCTGAAGGCCCAACACCAAGAGCTCGAGGAAGCATGACTCCAACATAAATGAACCAATTTTGGTAAGTTTCCGAAAATAAACTTTTCCATTTTTTAAATCCTCTTATTTTCAAATTTTCTTTTCTTTTATTTCAAAGCCATTTTTAATTTCATTTCAAAAGCATTTTAACCATTTTGACTTTTCAATTAAAACCACTCAACCAATAAAATCAAATGCAATGGCATGTATGCATCAAACATGTTGCTACCTTGTAATGAATTTTAAATTAATGAAAATTTTTATTTTCCTATATTTCATGAGCACAAAAATTTCAATTTAAATCATTTTAACCCTATTTAAAAAGTGGTAATTTTTTTAGGGTGTTACATCCGGCGCTTCTCCCGGCAGTGCAACGAGCTGCCTAACATCGTCGACGCCGACGTTATAGGAAATTTCCTATCTGGGACCACCTGCGAATCCCTGGTTCACAAGCTGGGATGTCCAACCACCTCAAGGGCAAGGCAAAATGGGATGAAGACGCCGGCGAAGGCGCCTCCAACCGTACCATCAAGAAGAAGAACAAGTAGCGGTGCGAGGGCTC